TATTGTTTCTGTTATATAGCAGACTATTGTCTCGACTATAAAGCAGACTAATGTCTCTACTATTGAGCAGACTATTGTTTCTATTCTATATAGCAGTCTATTGCCTCGCCTATAGACTAGATTAATTGTCTTGACCATAGAACCGATTGTTATCCAAATCCTCTTCAAAAGACTTAATTTCAAATTTAATTTTATTTTAAACATTTAAAATTTCTTCTTTCCGTTTTATTTTATATAATTTTTATTTATACATATTTTTTCCAATTTTATTTTTTTTTTGCACATCACGCCAAATATGGTCATTGAGTAGGTTGTATAATTTTCTTTAAATTGTTTACTCAAAAACAACAACTGCACAGACAAAATCAACACAAAACAACAAACACAAAAACAAGTAAATGATCATCTATAGAATTCTATAAAAATGATTCCTATTACAATGGCGCCTAAAAGTCTGAAGAACACCTGCATCATTTTATTTGAACAACAACTGCAACTGAAAACGAACAGAACATAGAGTTCTCACTACAACAATAAGCACAAAAACATGCAACAGAACGTTGTACGCAGTAAATTCAGACTTTTGCGAAAACTATCCAGTCAACATCAACCCACAATGGCGCTGTACATGAACCAGACAAAATAAACGACGTTCTACCGATTCTAACTTAAATGCCTACAAAACTAAATGTTCTTTTTGGAAATTTTCATTTAGTATTTTGAAAGAAGGAAAAACGTGATTACAGAATACTCGTAAAGTTGTTATGTATTCCAAACGTTTCTTCTTCCTTTAACATTTTCTGCTGTTTCTCGGCTGTCTGTCTGTCTGTCTGTTTATATTGCGCGCTTGCAATATGAGAATATAACGAGTACCACACTATCATCAACACATTATAAACTTTAGAGTTCAGTTTGTTTGTGTGTTTTTAGATTTTGCTGCAAGTTGCAAAGTGTTAAGTGCAACAATAGTTCAGTGTTGGCAATAAATACAATTTCTGGTTTATTCCCTATTGATTTACCAAAAAAATCCTAAATTATCTTTTTTAATAATGAACTAGAGAAACGGAATAGAGGCGTAGTTTGAGGGAGTCTTTGGCTATAGTCTAGACCATACAGTAGACAAAAGTCTTGACTATAGAGTATGCTATTGTCTCTACTATTGAGCAAACTAATGTCTCGACTACAGATCAGAACATGGCCACGTAGACTAGATAGTGTGTAGACAGTAGAGCAGTCAACTGTCTCAAATATACATATTGTAAACAATTTTCTCAACTATAAATTTTAGAACTGCCACGATCATAGAACTGACTATTGTCTCTACTTTAGAACAGACTATATTACCTCGACTACAGAACCGATTATTGTCTCGACTATAAAGCAGACTATTTTTTCGACTTTAAAGTTTATAATTGTAACGGCAACAAATATGTTATCTTGAATATAAAGCTGGATCAGGACTACAGATCGGTTGTAGAGTCAGCTATTGCAAAAAACTATATTCTCTTCATCTTTGTCTGAAAAAGCACTAAGTCTCTCTTTACAATAAAATCAAAGGCAAAAATAATATCCTTAATAATGTAAACCCAATGTAATAAATCAATTAAGTGTTCTATGTCAGTGACAAGTACAACATCACAACTCTTTTTAAATGACAATGACATCAAACTGTGCAAATATCAAGAAAAATAAAATAACTGCCACTAAAAAGCTAAATTTTACAGGAAAAACCAACCTCAATATGCAAGATTGGTAAACCAAAAAAAAAAATGTATTTTGTTATTAATTTAAAAGCACATTACAAAAATAACTTAAAAGGATTTCATAACAAGGAGCCTGTAAAAGATAAAGTCTTCTTCGATATTTAAAAGAATACCGAATTATCCCAACACAAGTTTTATTCAAAAGACACATCCAATGACATTTTACAGCAAAAGTTACATAAAACAAAAACATCTTTTTTTTTCTGAAAACCATAAAGAAGCCGCCCGGAATAACGAAGAATTCGTTTAAGAATATTTATGTACTCGTAATGAAGTATGAAACATTGTTGTTGCATGTTGTAAAATAATTGCAACAATAAGACTCCCTTTTAAATAATAATTGATTAAAATACTATTGATCATTTGCAAGACAAAAGGAGGTAAGAAGAGCAAACGTTTAAACTGCAAGTAGAAAAAACGTACCAACCAAACATACAAATTAATTATAATTTATTACTTAAATATAAGCCAGGTGACACCCACTAAAATGATGATGCTTAGCATTATATTTTCTTTAGCAGCTTAATGCTGTGGCACGCTACTGTGTGCAAACGACTGTAGTGCAAAATATGACCTATAGGTTTATAATCAGCTATATACATATATATAGCAGAACTAGAACTGAACTAGAACTGAACTAGAACTGAACTAGAACTGAACTAGAACTGAACTAGAACTGAACTAGAACTGAACTAGAACTGAACTAGACGACTAGAACTGAACTAGAACTGAACTAGAACTGAACTAGAACTGAACTAGAACTGAACTAGAACTGAACTAGAACTGAACTAGAACTGAACTAGAACTGAACTAGAACTGAACTAGAACTGAACTAGAACTGAACTAGAACTGAACTAGAACTGAACTAGAACTGAACTAGAACTGAACTAGAACTGAACTAGAACTGAACTAGAACTGAACTAGAACTGAACTAGAACTGAACTAGAACTGAACTAGAACTGAACTAGAACTGAACTAGACTGAACTAGAACTGAACTAGAACTGAACTAGAACTGAACTAGAACTAGAACTGAACTAGAACTGAACTAGAACTGAACTAGAACTGAACTAGAACTGAACTAGAACTGAACTAGAACTGAACTAGAACTGAACTAGAACTGAACTAGAACTGAACTAGAACTGAACTAGAACTGAACTAGAACTGAACTAGAACTGAACTAGAACTGAACTAGAACTGAACTAGAACTGAACTAGAACTGAACTAGAACTGAACTAGAACTGAACTAGAACTGAACTAGAACTGAACTAGAACTGAACTAGAACTGAACTAGAACTGAACTAGAACTGAACTAGAACTGAACTAGAACTGAACTAGAACTGAACTAGAACTGAACTAGAACTGAACTAGAACTGAACTAGAACTGAACTAGAACTGAACTAGAACTGAACTAGAACTGAACTAGAACTGAACTAGAACTGAACTAGAACTGAACTAGAACTGAACTAGAACTGAACTAGAACTGAACTAGAACTGAACTAGAACTGAACTAAAACTGAACTAGAACTGAACTATATCTGAACTATAACTGAACTATAACTAAACTAGAACTGAACTAGAATTGAACTAGAACTGAACTAGAACTGAACTAGAACTGAACTAGAACTAGAACTGAACTAGAACTGAACTAGAACTGAACTAGAACTGAACTAGAACTGAACTAGAACTGAACTAGAACTGAACTAGAACTGAACTAGAACTGAACTAGAACTGAACTAGAACTGAACTAGAACTGAACTAGAACTGAACTAGAACTGAACTAGAACTGAACTAGAACTGAACTAGAACTGAACTATAACTAAACTAGAACTGAATTGAACTAGAACTGAACTAGAACTGAATTAGAACTGAACTAGAATTGAACTAGAACTGAACTAGTACTGAACTAGAACTGAACTAGAACTGAACAAGAACTGAACTAGAACTGAACTAGAACTGAACTGAACTAGAACTGAACTAGAACTGAACTAGAACTGAACTGGAACTGAACTAGAACTGAACTAGATCTGAACTAGAACTGAACTAGAATTGAACTAGAACTGAACTAGTACTGAACTAGAACTGAACTAGAACTGAACTAGAACTGAACTAGATCTGAACTAGAACTGAACTAGAACTGAACTAGAACTGAACTAGAACTGAACTAGAACTGAACTAGAACTGAACTAGAACTGAACTAGAACTGAACTAGAACTGAACTAGGACTGAACTAGAACTGAACTAGAACTGAACTAGAACTGAACTAGAACTGAACTAGAACTGAAATAGAACTGAACTAGAACTGAACTAGAACTGAACTAGAACTGAACTAGAACTGAACAAGAACTGAACTAGAACTGAACTAGAACTGAACTAGAACTGAACTAGAACTGAACTAGAACTGAACTAGAACTGAACAAGAACTGAACTAGAACTGAACTAGAATTGAACTAGAACTAACCTATAACTTAACCGGAATAGGGCAGAGTATAAAGCAATTCATTATATTATATGTAGTGGTAGCCAGTAGTGTACTTTAACGTAGTACTCATTAGAGATGTTATTTACAATCACACAAACTCCATTTTTTTTACCGAAGTGCATCACCAAAACCATATTTAAACAACCTATTAAACAAATGCTTTTCGATTAAAGAAATCTTAAAGAAGTACAATAAAATACAGATACTATTTATTAACAAAAACAATTTTCTTAATTGTTTGGGAAAATTGCAACAGTCGTCCAATCATATTATTTAATGTTTAACTACAAAGAAAGCTTTAATAAAAAAATAAAAACTTTTTTTACCGAAGAACACTGAATGAACAAAATTACACATTTTATTTTAATTAATGACTCGAAAACACGCAGAAATTAGCCATGGCTAAATGCCAGTCCATTAACAATTGGTGGTAATAAACGGGCAAAGTTTTAGCAAAACTAAAAGATAAAGGCTTAAAAGGTCTGGCTTAAAGCCGTGATAAACGGTATTTTATATAAAAAATTAAGAAAAAAAAAAAAACAGTAAAAACTTTAAAACAAAATTGCCTTTAAGGAACAACAGTTTCAGGTACAAATAATTTAAATAAAACTTTTTCTTAATTGCCATAACACAAATTTTGAAAGATTAAAGTGGACTTGTAGTGAAGAAAAAGAAACATTTCAAAAATGATATTTAAATGTTTTGTATAAGGGAAGGTATGCTCATAGATCTTATAAATAAAGAAAAAAACGTTACATTATTTTTCATATTTATTAAATTGCATAAACTGTTAGGAATGAAAACAAAATAATAAGTTTATTTATAACTACAATCCTAAAACCAGCATTTAAATGTTTTTCAATCCACTCCCGATTATACCAAACATCCGTATACAAACTGGGCAAACGATTTCTACCACAACCTATGGTCCAAGAAATAACACCCGTTAACTCATTATTACAGATCAAAGGCCCACCGCTATCACCACGACAGGGATCTTCATCGTAATTCAAACTATCACCTGCACATAAAATACCTTTATGATAATGTTCGCGTAGAAAATATTTACATTCTGAAGGTTCATATAGCCTAACATTGACATGAAAGGGTAAAGCGGCTAAAGGACCCTTCTAAAGAGGAAAGCATTTCTACAGTATTTTTTTTTTTTTATTATTGTTGGATTATGATTACCACTATCATTCGTCCCCAACCTATGATAATGCAACTTGTATTATATACCGGTGGTCCCGTTGGCATTTTAATAATTTGTATATTTTCATTATCCTCGGGAATTTCTCCTTTTAAATGAATTATTGCTATATCATCTTTATTGTTGCGTATATAGTTTGTATTAGCCGTTAGACTTTTGGCAGGAAATTGTACGGTTGTTGCGATGGGCACTAAACGATTAGGTGTTCCAGCCACTAGCAGTAAACGACGGGCTCGAGTTAATACTCTTCTTTTACTAAAATGACGATAAAAATTATGTCAATTGTGAAAAAATAATATAGATCTCAAAAATTTGTTCAATATTTACTCCATTACACAATGGGCTGATGTTAATACGGCCGTTTTCGATATAATCGTGCCTGCACAAAAGTGATTATCTCCAAAATATCTTTGTGGGTTACGAGAACGTATTGAAACCATGTAGCTGACAAGTTTGAATGTAGACGGTTCTCGATTTCCTCCCGATATATAGTACATCGGCAATAAATTGCTATTTGAGGATTTCAGAGCATTATTTTGCTCTAGGAACCAGCAAATTAGGAACAATTTAAAAAATAATGTTTCCATTTTTTACAATATTTTATTAATTTAAATAATTAATAACAAAATTAAAAACTTTTGTGTCAAATCAGTATAGAGCTACTAATCATTCCGATCCGAATAAAGAATTGAACTGGAAAGAACTGGAACTTGAACTGAAACTAGAACTGGAACTAGAACGAACCAAACTAGAACTGAACTAATGAACTGAACTAGAACTGAACTAGAACTGAACTAGAAACTGAACTAGACTGTAACTATAACTGAACTAGAACTGACTAGAACTGAACTAGAACTGAACTAGAACTGAACTAGAACTGAACTAGAACTGAACTATAACTGAACTAGAACTGAACTAGAACTGAACTAGAACTGAACTATAAATGAACTATAACTGAATTTTCTAGAACTGAACCTATAAACTGAACTAGAACTGAACTAGAACTGACTAGAACGGAACTGAACTGAACTAGAACTGACTAGAACTGAACTAGAACTGACCTAGAACGAACTGAACTGAACAGAACTGAACTAGAACTGAATAACCTGAACTAGAACTGAACTAGAAACTGAAATAGAACGAACTAGAACTGAACTAGAACCGAACTAAACTGAACTAGAACTGAACTAGAACTGAACTAGAACTGACTAGACTGACTAAACTGAACTAAAACTAGAACGAACTGACTAAAGAACTGAACTGACTGACTGACTAGAACTGACTAAATAACTAGAACTGAACAGAACTGAACTAGAACTGAACTAGAACTGAACTAGAACTGAACTAGAACTGAACTAAACTGAACTAGAACTGAACTAGAACTGAACTAGAACTGAACTAGACTGAACTAGAACTGAACTAGAACTGACTAGACTGACGAGAACTGAACTAGAACTGAACTAGAACTGAACTAGAACTGAACTAGAACTGAACTAGAACTGAACTAGAACTGAACTAGAACTGAACTAGAACTGAACTAGAACTGAACTAGAACTGAACTAGAACTGAACTAGAACTGAACTAGAACGGAACTAGAACTGAACTAGAACTGAACTAGAACTGAACTAGAACTGAACTAGAAACTGAACTGACCTAGAACTAACTAGAAACTGACTAGAACTGAACTAGAAACTGAACTAGAAACTGAACTAGAACTGAACTAGAACTGAACTAGAACTGAACTAGAACTGAACTAGACTGAACTGAACTAGAACTGAACTAGAACTGAACTAGAACTGAACTAGAACTGAACTAGAATGACTGAACTAGAACTGACTAGACTGAACTAGAACTGAACGAGAACTGAAACTAGAACTGAACTAGAACTGAAACTAGAACTGAACTAGAACTGAACTAGAACTGAACTAGAAACTGAACTAGAAACTGAACTAGAACTGAACTAGAACTGAACTAGAACTGAACTAGAACTGAACTAGAACTGAACTAGAACTGAACTAGAACTGAACTAGAACTGAACTAGAACTGAACTAGAACTGAACTAGAACTGAACTAGAACTGAACTAGAACTGAACTAGAACTGAACTAGAACTGAACTAGAACTGAACTAGAACTGAACTAGAACTGAACTAGAACTGAACTAGAACTGAACTAGAACTGAACTAGAACTGAACTAGAACTGAACTAGAACTGAACTAGAACTGAACTAGAACTGAACTAGAACTGAACTAGAACTGAACTAGAACTGAACTAGAACTGAACTAGGAACTAGAACTGAACTAGAACTGAACTAGAACTGAACTAGAACTGAACTAGAACTGAACTAGAACTGAACTAGAACTGAACTAGAACTGAACTGAACTAGAACTGAACTAGAACTGAACTAGAACTGAACTAGAACTGAACTAGAACTGAACTAGAACTGAACTAGAACTGAACTAGAACTGAAACTAGAACTGAACTAGAACTGAACTAGACTGAACTAGAACTGAACTAGAACTGACTAGAACTGAACTAGAACTGAACTAGAACTGAACTAAAGACTGAACTAGAACTGAACTAGAACTGAACTAGAACTGAACTAGAACTGAACTAGAACTGAACTAGAACTGAACTAGAACTGAACTAGAACTGAACTAGAACTGAACTAGAACGGAACTAGAACTGAACTAGAACTGACTAGAACGACTAGAACTGAACTAGAACTGAACTAGAACTGACTAGAACTGAACTAGAACTGAACTAGAACTGAACTGAACTGAACTAGAACTGAACTAGAACTGAACTAGAACTGAACTAGAACTGACTATAACTGAACTAGAACTGAACTAGAACTGAACTAGAACTGAATAGAACTGAACTAGAACGAACTAGAACTGACTAGGAACTGAACTAGAACTAACTAGAACTGAACTGAAGTACTGAACTAGAACTGAACTAGAACTGAACTAGAACTGAACTAGAACTGAACTAGAACTGAACTAGAACTGAACTAGAACTGAACTAGAACTGAACTAGAACTGAACTAGAACTGAACTAGAACTGAACTAGAACTGAACTAGAACTGAACTAGAACTGAAGTAGAACTGAACTAGAACTGAACTAGAACTGAACTAGAACTGAACTAGAACTGAACTAGAACTGAACTAGAACTGAACTAGAACTGAACTAGAACTGAACTAGAACTGAACTAGAACTGAACTAGAACTGAACTAGAACTGAACTAGAACTGAACTAGAACTGAACTAGAACTGAACTAGAACTGAACTAGAACTGAACTAGAACTGAACTAGAACTGAACTAGAACTGAACTAGAACTGAACTAGAACTGAACTAGAACTGAACTAGAACTGAACTAGAACTGAACTAGAACTGAACTAGAACTGATGTAGATCTGAACGATCTCGGATTTAAATCGCAATTAACAGGCGAAGACAAGAGTGCTGTGGATAAACTAATAGTAGACTAATTAATAGTGCGAAATCTGCGGTACAATAATCTTGTATCTTAGCTATCCTTCCTTTAGTTAGGGTTTTTTATTTATTACCGTAATTGCATGCAAATATAACACATACTATGGCCACAACCCAAAATGTAGTTTCTGTTTAATTATTTTTTGGTTTAAGGCCAATTTTTGAATGAAAAAAGCATTAAGTTTTAATACACTCAGTTACACGTGCTCAAGCCTAAACCAAAAACAATCCCTTAAAAAACCAAGGTTTACTCCTCTTTAATTTCACATAATTTTTGACTTTAATTTTATTTAATAACATTAGTTTATGGCGATTTCTTCTTCAACTTTTTTTTGAGAGGCTGTAACCAAACATAAACTGAAACCAACAATTAAAGCCTGTTGGCAAGAAGATTTTTTACAAAAGAAAAAAAGACTTTTTTGCAAAATAAATAAAGATAATTAAAAATACCTCCAAGAATATGGCAATATTCTTGTATGTAAAAAAATGTCCCTTAAATAATAATAATATTGATATAAAGGATTTTTTAATAACTTGGCAATAGCACGCACTATTCTTCAAAAAAAAAAAAAGGAAATTTTAAAACTAATGAAGACATCATGCAATATGTTGCCTTTAATTTCTTTTTCTTATCGATATTGATTTTTAATAAACTTTTAAGATTCTCTTTAATAATTTCTTCACCGATCCCTCAAATTATGTGTGTGCTGTTAACACAAGCATAAAATTTTGTGAAAAAAATCATAAAAAATCGAAAATATTTTGGTAGTTCTTTAGCACCTGCAGACATAATTTTGTCTGCATGTCATAAATAAATTAGCTTTAGTTATTTAATATTATTTTTGCAAGTTAATAAGGCAAAAACGGCAGTCCATATCATATTCTATAATGACAATATTTGGCTTTTTTGGGCAATTTTTCTTAAAATTTATTTTTTTTTACTAAACATGTTCACTACTGTATTGATAATATCGCAAGAAAAAATTTGTTCAAAAGTGTTAAATTACCTACAAATTATAAAAAAATATCCTAAAATACTAATAAATATAACAAGTAATAAAATATTTTTAAATATGAAGGTAATTTTGGAAAATTTTGCAACGTTTTATTTTCATACAGCTACAAAAACAAAAGACTTAAGAAACAAGCACAGAATAGCAGTATAGCGAAATCTATAACTGAACTGAAACTAAACTAAGTAGAACTGAACTAGTATAGTGATGTACACAATTATTTTCCATTATTTTAAATTAATTTCCCTCAATATCCAAATTTCAATATTTTCCAAAATAAAGTCATCAATGTGTAATAGCGACACACCGACTTACATACATATTTCGACATACAAGCACACTTTAAAGTTCATGAAAAACATTAACTACAACAAAATTTTTTAACAATTCTTTTACCTTGTTAAGATTATAAACTGCAGCAAAAAATCGGGGAAAAAAACTACACAATGCATGTGGCACATAATTAGAAATTCGCTAAAAACACCAACAAAATTAACAACAACAAAAAAAGATTCACTTTGCAACATGTTACTTTAACATAAATTGCTAGAATTGTACGAATAGAACCAGCCTACACACATAATTCATCCTCATAATACTTCCAACCACATCTAGTCAGAAGTGGTGGAAGTATTATGCCTGGGGAATAAAGTGAATTACTGTTGCACACATGTATCACCGCATATTTTCTTTATGGCCAAAGAGTCGCATAGACCAAAGTCCAAGAGACGACAGTCTTAGTGCCAGAGTTAATTCCTGTGGCTTATTTCTGCAGTTTTTATCTGAAACAGAAATCCCGACTTTAGTTGGCAGCCGTTGTTTGCAAGTTTTCCTCGTTTTATTTTAATTTCAAACTAAAATACTAGTAAAGTTAGGAATTATTTTGTTTTTTTTCGGGTGGTATTAGGAGGCTAAAAAGGAAGGCTACTATATACTACATGTTTGTGGAATCAAATAATTTTTATCGAAAATCCTTAAGATTAAAGTTCAGTT